AGCCACCTCCAGAGGAGGCTGCCCTCGCTCCTCCCAGGGCAGAACACTCTCTTACTGAGTTCGGGGCTCAGGTCCCCACTGCAGATGAGGAAACTGTGGCAGGAGGTTAAGCCTCTCCCCTGAGGGGCCATGCCAGGACACAGGGAAAAGGGACCAAAGATGGAAGGCGGTTAGACCAAAGAAGAGGATGGAGAGAAACTGGACCCCTCTGCCCCCGCATCCCTTCCCAGACAATCCCAGCTTTAGGAAGTCACATTTCCTGAAAGTCCAGGCCCCATCCTTGTGGGATGTTCCATGTCCATTACTTTATTTCCCACAACAGCCTTGGGAGTGGGGCATTATTGTCCCCATTTTCCAGAAGGGAACACTGAGGTTTCAAGTAGGGGAGCGATCTGCAAGGGTCACATGGTGGATCAGTGGCAGAAGGAGGCCTGAAGCTCCAGTTGTCTGACTTGTTGGTCCAGGTTCTCACAGCCTGCTCAGCCCTCCCAGAGCTCCTGCCCTCCCCACTCCCTTTTGGATTTTCTCCTACCTTGAGGCTGACATTGCTGGTGGTACCCTGGGCTAGGTCAGAGCAGCTCCGGCTACCCCGAGGCCTGGGAAGGAAACACAGGGGGAAGCGAATGAAGTAGCTGCCTCCTGTCCCAACACCATCAGCCCCAGTCTTGACCCAGAGTCTTCTCCCCCAACCTTTTCTCAGGGCCCACAGCCCAGCAGGATGAATTCCTAAAATATTTTGGGGAAGGTCTATGTGGCAGCCTCCTCTCTGCTCCCTCTCCCAGCTGTCCACTTTACCCCCAGAGGCAAAGAAAGAGACAGGAATGGGCTTGGATGCAAAATGGGGACTGGGCCTGTGTTGGGGCTTGAATACAGGGAAAGACAGTGCCCGATAATGCAAAAGTTGGTCATTTGCTGAGGCCCTCCTGTGTGCCAGGCTTGGCACGAGGCATTGTGCCTACATGATCCCCCCTAAGCCTCACAGTAATCCTAGAAGGTGAATATTAGTGTCCCCTGTTTTTTAAATATGGAAAGTGAGGCCCAGATAGGTGAAATGACTTGCTTAGACTCCACTGCAAACGTTGGCTGGACACCATGGCATGAATGGAGGCCAGGTGGGAAAGCGCCTTGGCTCCTCCTCTGCACAGTCTGTACCTTCAGCAATCAGCAGGGATCAGAGGCCCCTGCCTTGGCACCAGGGTCCCATTCCCAGGGCTGGTAAGAATGGAGAGCAAGTGCAGCATGGCCAAGAATCATCACACTGGCTCTGCCGGGAGCCTGAGCAACCCCTCCCAACCCTCCCCACCCCTGACTCATTTGCACCTCTAAGTCCAGAGAGGGAGGGGCAGTGCCATCTGGGCCTATAGGGCAGGTTTCTGCCAGACAGGGTAAAAGGGGAGGGCGTGTCTTCCAGGCGGGGGTGGGCAGGGCACTGGCAGGGTGTGGACACCCCAGGGCACCCAGGCTTCCAGGCATAGGGTGGCTGGGCCCTCCTCTCCTCTCTCTTTAGGGTGAGAGAGCAGTACAAACCCCTGCCCTCATTTTGCCCCCACCACACCCCCACCCCTCCTGGCTGAAGACAGTTGTGCCATGATAAGATCAGAACAAATTGCCAAGTACCTGGGCAGACACATAAACACCCATGCGTGAGAGCACACCCCATGCTCTTCACGGATATAGGGCCAGTGAGCTACAGGGCTCCCTTGGATTCTCAATGCTGCTTTCCCCGCCTTTCGACTAGACCTTCCACAGGATGTTTTTCTTCTGTACTTTTAAAAGAGCACAAGGAGCCACGTATGGTGGCTCACGCCTTTAATCCCAGCATTTTGGGAGGCCGATGCGGGCGTATAAGAAGGTCAAGAGTTCAAGACCAGCCTGGCCAACATGATGAAACCCCACCTCTACTAAAAATACAAAAAATTAGCTGGGCATGGTGACATGTGCTTGTAGTCCCAGCTACTCAGGAGGCTAAGGCAGGAAAATTGTTTGAACCTAGGAGGCGGAGGTTGCAGTGAGCTGAGATTGTGCCACTGCACTTCAGCCTGGGTGGCATGTGAGACTCCATCTCAAAAAAAAAAGTTAAAAAATAAAAAATAAGCCAGGTGCAGTGGCTCACATCTGTAATCCTAGCACTTTGGGAGGCAGAAGGTAGATAGCTTAAGCCCAGGAGTTTGAGACCAGCCTGGGGAACATGGTGAAACCCTGACTCTGCAAAAAATCAGCCAAGTATGGTGGCATGTGCCTGTAGTCTCAGCTACTCAGAAGGCTGAGGTGGGAGGATCACCTGAGCCTGGGGAGGCTGAGGCTGCAGTGAGATGTGATAGTGCCACTGCACCCCGGTGTAGGCGACAGAGCAAGACCCCATCTCAAAAAATGAATAACTAAATAAATAAAAAATAGAAGAGCACAGGGAACGTTTCACATTCACATCCAAAATCGTGGTACACTGGTACATATATTTTTATGCTTCAAGATACTCATACACACTTATTTGATCAGCCACAACACTCTAACACACACACACACACACACACCCTCAGACAACAGCTACCAGAGCACAGGCTTGGAGAGGTGAAGCAATCTGCTTAGGGTCATATAACCAGTGGCACCTACAACTAGGAGCTGCCCCCCACCCTACTTCCTGCTGAGGGCAACAGAGCTTCAGAAATGTGGGCTCTGGAGTCAGACTGCTGAAGCCTGTGTCCTGGTTCCACCACATCCCAGCTGTGTGACTTTGGGCAGGTGATGTCACCTCTCTGAACCTTCATTTCCGTATCTGAATCATGCAGAATACCTGCTTCATAGGGCTGCTGTGAGGATTACGTGAGATAATCCAGGTGAAGCTATGAAGCATGTGGCAAATAAAGGCTTACTGTTAATACTATCCAGAGCTATCTCCAGGGGTGGGGACGACGGGGGAAAATCTCTCCGTGGCATCTAAGAGCAAATGCAGTACAGTCTCAGACGGAACCTGTCAGGCTCATGACAAAGGGATATGAAGACATCAGCTGTGATGTGAGAATCAAAGTCCACAGTTAAAGGAGGAACTACTACTTTTGCCTTTAAACTGTCTCTGCCGTCTGCAGGCTGCCTGCCTGACTTGGGAAATTGTCCACGTAAGTCGTAAAGTTTTAAAAGAGCACAGGGACCATTCCACATTCACATCCAAAATCGTAGTACATTAGCACATATATTTTTATGCTTCGAGAGATACATATACATGCTTATTTGATCACTATGCTCACACACGCGCACACACATGTTCCAGGGCCCGAGGGGGCCCACCCAGCACCCGGCCTTTCTCCATCTCCCCTCACCTATCCCGGGATATGGCCTCCGAGGTCTTCTTCCCACTGTGCTCCCTCCGGACCCCTAGCCCGGCCAAGAGGCCGACCAGGCAGGCCCCCGGGCCTCCGCACCGCTCAGCCATGGCGAGTGAAAGACCCGGGGCTCAGGCCGTAGGAGTACCTGACCGCCGGGGCTACCCGCATCCGCTGCATTTGCGGAGAAACGCCTCCTCCAGCCCGGCCCCCTGAGCAAACAGCGGCCCCACCCGCAGCCCATGCGGGCGGTGACCCGATCCAGATGCTGCCCATGCCCTGGGGCACTCTCCAGGACCCCCCCCGCCCCAACCTCATTGTTCTCCCCCGACTTTGGACCGCAGACCCAAGACCTTTGGCAAGAGCCCACACCCCCACCCCGGGAGCCCCTGTTCTCCGCCGGGTCCGCGCTACATCTTCAAGCTCCTGGAGGCTCCAGGGCCCCATGCAGCCCCCGGTGAGCTAGCCCGGGAGCAAGACCTGCATGAAGCCGGAAAGGGAAAGTGGCCTGGGGCGAACAGAGGCCGGGAGGCTAGGCTGAGCGAGGGGGGCTCCAGGAGGAGCAGGAGGGCTGGACGCCGGTGGCCAGTCCGGGGGCGGGTCCGGAATGGGCGTGGTCTGCCCGACTGGGCGGGGCCTAACGCGAGTGGTTGGTGTCTCGCGCGGGGCCCAAGGTGTGACGGGGGTGGGCTTGGAACCCGGACCTTAGCTACTTGTGGGGCCGAAGTCCACTCTGCGGCCATCGTTCTGCCGCAGTCCGTGGGGTTCGATCCTTCCTGTGGGAAGCACCTACGGCCGACAGCGGGAATCCTGTCACCACTGCGGTGAGGAAGCTGCTCAAAAACCCACGGGGTGCGGACGGCGCCACCTCTCGGAAGTCGGCCGGGGAACCCCACTCTGTCCGCAAATCGCTTAATAACAGCTGTCGTCGATTGTGATCCTAACCTGGGCCTCCTGCCTCCCAGGCAGTACCCTTTTCCGCCTGGCGCTGCCTCTCTGACTCGAGTGGGGATGGGGAGCACCTCGCACATTTCAGAGGATCCTCCGGGCCTGCAGGGAGAAGGGCCATCAGGCGGGTCTCAGCTCCCCAGGGTCTCTGCCAATTCCTTTCTGCCTGTAGCCCTAATCTGGCTGCAGCCTCCATGCCTTCCCTGAGCCTGGCACGCTGTTAGCCCAGAGTGTTGTGGTAACTGGCCCCGGTTCACAGAGGACATCATGCTTCTGGATCATGAGTGGACGCTGATATCTTAAGTCTCCTTCCTCGATACCCCGGCAATGAGGGGCACCCCCACAACGACCATGCAGGGAGTACCAGCTGAGGGGCATGTTGCAACATAGGAATGGTGAGACCCAGGTGGTGGGGGCAGCAGGACCCTCTCAGGTGTTGGGAACAGCACAGTGTGCCCATGCTGGGCAGCACGGTCAGCACCTTACAGCCCTCCCGGAAGCCTGGCTGGCTGTCAGTGAGTAGACAAGGAGGGCCTGGTCCTAGATGGGGCGTGGAACCCAAGCCCAGCGGAGGCAGATGGCTGCAGGCACCCACCGCATGCACAGGCAGCACAGGCTCTTCCCAGCTGAGTCCCCTGACCTGCTCCCAGGTGAAGTGTGAAGTCTGGCAAATATACGGTGGCTTTCCCCCACTGCCCCACCCCCACCCAACTGTTGAAGCTCAGGAAGCCTCAATGCATTAAAGAAACGTTTTTAATTGTTCTGCCCCTGCCCCCTCCCCAGGGGAGTCCTGGCACTGCTCAGGGGGCTCACTGCTCTTGCTTTCCCCTGGGATGTCAAGGACACTTTGACCTCCTCTATGTTACAGCCCATGTGTTTCTCTGATGCCACCGCCATAAGATCTAGTATCCCCGGGTGCCACTGGGAAAGGCAGGCCGGAGGAGCCAGGGGCAGCTGAGTGTGCACCAGGCCACAGGGCTGTGGGGCATGCAGCCGATTGTGCAGCTTCAGGTGGATGTGCTGAGTGAAGCGGCTCTGGCAGACCCTGCACTGGAAGCGCCGGGTCCCCAAGTGCAGGCGCAGATGGGTCTTGAGGTTGCTGGAGCTGCTGAAGCGCTTGTGGCACACCTGATGGGAAGGGGCACTGGCATCAGCTTTGTCTTCTGGGCTGGCTCAGGTGTTCTACTCCCTCTCTGCATCTTGGAAGTACCCATAACCCACCTCTTTCCCTCCAGGCCTGGAAGCTTTTCCCGTGATTTCTCCCTGGGACCCGCAGAATCTGGCACATTAGAACCAGGCTGGCTTGGGTTAGTGGTGTCCTTCTTTTACTCCATGTGTGACCTTGTAAAAGTAACTTTTCCTCTTTCAGCCTTCCTTTCCTCATTGGTAACGTTGGTAATTAATACCTAGCTTCACTGATATGGTGGACTGAATGAGATAATCACACAGAACTCTTAAGTGTTAAGCTACAGCTTCAGTGGATGTAATTAACATTTACTGGGGGCTGCCACATCCCTGCAGTTGGTTTCACCTAATCTTCTCCAGGACCCTGGGGAAGCATGACTAAGTACCAACACAACTTCTATACTATAGTAAGAAAGAGAGGCTCAGAGGAGTGAAGCCACTAGCCAAAGGTCACACAGAAAGTTGGAAGGAGAGCTAGGATTTGAACACAGGTGGCCTGACTCTGCAGCCCAGACTCCATCATGACACCACTTTCATTTCTGCCCCTGTAAAATGGGAAAGAACTCCTACCCTTTTGACTTCCCAAGGGATGTGGCCAGCTCACGGAAGGTGAAAGCTAACATCGATCTAATGGGTTTTTTTTTTTTTTTTTTTTTTTTGAGACAGAGTCTCACTCTGTCACCCAGGCTGGAGTGCCGTGGAGCCATCTTGGCTCACTGCAACCTCTGCTTCCCGGATTCAGGCAATTCTCCTGCCTCAGCCTCCCGAGTAGCTGGGACTACAGGCACGCACCATCATGCCAGGCTAATTTTTTTGTATTTTTAGTAGAGACAGGGTTTCTCGGTGTTAGCCAGGATGATCTCAATCTCCTGACCTTGTGATCCACCCGCCTTGGCCTCCCAAAGTGCTGGGATTACAGGCGTGAGCCACCGCGTCCTGCCGACCCCCAACTTCATTGTTTTCTCCCCAAAGACACACATCTCAATTCCCTCCTCCAGGCCCTTGGAGTGACCTTCAGTATTACCCATTCCAGGCTGAGGGATCATTTTTAATTTTCACTGCCCCTTCCCATCTCTACTTGGTCAGGAGGACTGGGGAATGGAGGCTGCAGGTGCCATCCCTCCAAGGGCCTAAAACTCCTCACCAGCCTATAGGAGTACAGGGCAGGGGGAGGAGGATCTCACCAGGCACTTGTGGGGCCGCTCCCCAGTGTGCACCAGGTGGTGCTTCTGCAGGTGGGCGAGCTGGGTGAAGCTCTTCTGGCACAAGGCACACTGGAATGGGCGCTCCCCGCTGTGCACACGCAGGTGGACCTGAGTCAGATGTGGGAGAAATGCTGCCAAGTGCCCAGCACCCCTAGCAGGGCCTGAGGTCCTCTCTGAAACTCCGCCCACTTCCCTGCAGGACCCCTTATTGGCATCCAGGCCTCTCAATCCCTCTCCCTCCCTGTCATCTCCCTCAGGGCCCATCATCCCCAGGATACTTCCACTCTTTCTGCTGCCCTGTAGGGGAGATGGCAGTGGTCAGAAGGCCAGGTAAAAGGTACCCCAGGTGTATTGTGGAGCACTGCTATTCAAAATGTGGTCCACAGACCAGCAGCACTGGTATCACACTTCGGGAGCATGTTAGAAATGCAGGTTCTCAGGCCCAGCCCCAGTCCTTCTGAATAAAAAACTCTGGGAGGGCTGGGCACACGCTCATGGCTGTAATCTCAGCACTTTGGGAGGCTGAGGAGGGAGGGTCACTGGAGCCCAAGAGTTCAATACCAGCCCGAGAAACACAGTGGGACCCCTTCTGTACAAAAAATTTAAAAATTAACCAGATGTGGTGGTGTATGCCTGTGGTCCCAGCTACGGGGGAGGATGAGGTGGGAGAATCCCTTAACCCCAGGAGTTTGAGACCAGCGTGGGAGACAGAATGAAACCCCATATGAAAAAATAAATAAAAATAAAAACTCGGGCTGGGAGCTACTCCGGAGGTTGAGGTGGGAGGATCGCAAAAACTCTAGGAATCTGCATCTTTACTAGCTTTCCAAGTAGTCTAAGGCTCGTGAAAGTTTAAGAACTCCTGCCCTGCAGGATCCAGTAGGGCTTTTCCCTGTAACCACAAAGTGCCCTCAACTTCAGCGCCAGCCAGCGCGTGCACAACTTCCGGCCTTTGCTAACGCACTGAGATGGTCCCCTGGGCGCCCCCTGCTGGGCGATGCCTTTGGTGAGGCCAATCGCATCGGTGGTCGCGCCGATTTGTGGGAATCCAATTTGAAAAAGGTTGGCCATCAGACTGTGGTTTAGACTCACCAAAATCCACCCGTTCCCTCATCTGACTGCCCCAAAAAATAAATAAGAAGCTTAAGTGGGAGTCCAGAAAGGATGGTTGTCCAGGAAAGGGCTTTCTTTGCCCAGAGCAAATGTCGAGAGACTAAACCTAACACTACCATTAAATTGGGGTAATCTTAGGCAAACGCTGCCCATTAAAAGCCTCAGTCTCCTCATTTTTTTTTTAAGACGGAGTCTTACTCTGTCGCCCAGGCTGGAGTGAGTTGCGTGATCTCGGCTCACTACAACCTCTGCCTCCCAGGTTCAAGCGATTCTCCTGCCTCAGCCTCCCGAGTACCTGGGACCACAGGTTCACGCCACCACGCCCAGCTAATTTTTGTAATTTTAGTAGAGACGGGGTTTCACCATGTCGACCAGGCTGGTCTCGAATTCCTGACCTCGTGATCCACCTACCTCAGCCTCCTAAAGTGCTGGGATTACAGGCGTGAGCCACCATGCCAGCCAGTCTCCCCATTTTAATCTAAATGAGATGATCTCATAGGCAGTTCTCTAAGGTGGCGAGGACTTTGGTGGCCATCTTATCCTATGTCTCCACCCAAATGAACCATCCCAGGTCACTAGGCCCTAGAGGCTACCCAGGAATGCCTTCTAGCTTTGAGGTCCTTGCTTCTAGAATCAGGTGCATGGGGGGCCCTGAAGGATACTGAAGGGAGCAGCGGAGCCCAGGAGGCAGATACCTTGAGATTGGAGAGCTGCCCAAAGCTCTTGCCACATATGTTGCACTCGTACAGGATTTTGCCATTCTCCTTTTTCAGCGGGTAAGGCAGGGCTGCAGTGCCTGTCCGGGAACGCACAGGGCCCTGCCTTGCTGGAAATGCCATGCCACCACGCTTCAGGCCTGGGGAGTCGGTTGGGGCAGCTCCAGTGCCTTGATTTCGGGCCTGGGAAGGTAGGGCTTGGCCAGAGGCTTGGAAGGCCCCTGGGTAGGAAAGCAGGGTCTCCCACCCAGCGCTGTGGTGCCCAGCCTCATTGACCATCATCATCAGGCTAGGCATAGCCATGATGGGGTAGGAGGTGTCTTGGGGCAGCATGAGGAGGTGGGGACGTTGGTCAGAAGGTAGGGCTCCATAGGTGAACAGGTAGGGTGGAGGCAGGAGAAGTGGGTATCCAGGGTAGAAGGTATGGAGGTGGAATGGGAGCTCCTTGGAGATGGAGGTGGCCGGGGGGCAGGGGCAGAAAGCCAAGGGTCTGGGGCTCTTTCTATTCTGCAGCAGTGGTGGGGAAGAGCTGTCATGAGGCAAGAAGGCTTGGCAGGGGGCCCCCTCGCCAGCTCTTTCTGGCTGTTTTCCCATCTTGTTCTTATTCCATGGGTGCTTGACTGTGAGTTTCTTGTCATCGGTGGATCCGGTATGCAGCCCTGGTGGCTGGTGCTCTAAGCAGGAAAAGGAAGGTGGTCAGAGCCCCACAGTCTGGGATGAAGTTCTGTCCCTCATCAAACCCCGCCCATCAAACCTGCCCAGCTCCGGGCTGAGAAAGACCTCCAGCCTGCAAGCCTGCTAGCATTTCTGTAGTGCCAAATAATTTCAGGGGGATAAAACGGTTCAAGATCCCTATTAGACACCCAGGTTGAGAAATCAGGTGGGCAGATGGATAAATTGGGTTGGAGTTTAAAGGAAAGGTCTGATTAGCCAGGCAAAGTGGCGGGCACCTGTAATCCCAGCTTTTTGGGAGTCTGAGGCAGGAGAATCACTTGAACCCAGGAGGCAGAAGTTGCAATGAGCCAAGATCTGGCATTGCACTCCAGCCTGGGCAACAGAGCAAGACTCTGTCTCAAAAAAAAAAAAAAAAAAGGAGAGGTCTGAGCTGGAGACATAAATCTGGGTGCCCTGGGCACAGATAAGATCACACAAGGGTGAGGCTAGATATGCTGTGTCCAAAATAGCAGCCACTGGTCATGCGACTGGATTTACATTAATTAAAATGATTATAATAAAAAATGGGGCAGCAGGCGCAGTGGCTTATGCCTGTAATCCCAGCACTTTGGGAGGCCAAGGCGGGTGGATCACGAGGTCAGGAGATTGAGAACATCCTGGCCAACATGGTGAAACCCTGTCTCTACTAAAAATACAAAAATTAGCTGGGTGTGGTGGTGCGTGCCTGTAATCCCAGCTACTTGGGAGGTTGAGGCACGAGAATTGCTTGAACCCAGGAGGTGGAGGTTGCCATGAGCCAAGATCATGCCACTGACGCCAGCCTGGCAACAAAGCGAGACTCCATCTCAAAAAAAAAAAAAAAAATTATAATGAAAAATGAGGCTCATCAGTTGTACCAGTCACATTTACAGTGCTCAGCAGGAATGATATTGCACAGCACCGGTATAGAATGTTCCCATTATTGCAGGGAGTTCTGCCAAACAGTGGTATTCTAGATAGAAAAAGAGTACTAAAATGGAAAACCTATTAAAAAGTAAACTGTCAGCCAGGTGCAGTGGCTCATGCATGTAATCACAGTGCTTTGTGAGACTGAGGCAGGAGAATTGCTTAAGCCCAGGAATTTGAGACCAGCCTGGGCAACAAAGCAAGACCCCATCTCTACAAAAAGTAAGAAAATTAGGCGGGTGTTTGTGGCACATGTCTATAGTAGTCCCAACTACTCAGGAGGCTGAGGAGAGAGGATCACTTTAGCTCAGGAGTTGGAGGCTGCAGTGAGGTGTGATTATGTCATTGCACTCCAGCCTATCTCAAAAAAAAAAAAAAAAAAAAAAAAAAAAAAAAAAAAAGCAAGCTATCTTCTGCTTGGATCCTTATTTATTTACTCAATCAACCTCACTGAGCTGTTTCACTCTGTGCTCTGTGCTGGGGTCCTAGAAATAAAGGACACAGCAGGAGAGTCCTTGCCCTCTAGGAGGTCATCATCACATAAGGAAATGGTGTGTTACAACAAACCTAGAACACAGGTATAGCTGAGATACCACTTTTGTGGATGAAGAAACCAGACCTCGGTGTTGTGCCCAGGCCCACAGAAACAGAAAGGGCAGAACCAGGACTCCAACCCCAATTCCCTGACTCCCAGCTCAGTGCCCTTCTAAGATGCCTAGAGGGCTGGACATGGTGGCTCACGTCCATAATTCCAGCACTTTGGGTGGCTGCAGTGGGTGAATCACCTGAGGTCAGGAGTTCAAGACCACCCTGGCCAACATGGCAAAACCCTGTCTTTACTAAAAATACAAAAATTAGCTGGGCGTGGTGGTGAATGCCTGTTTTCTCAGCTACTCTGCAGGGGTGAGGCAGGAGAATCACTTGAACCCAGGAGGCAGAGGTTGCAGTGACCTGAGATCACACCATTGCACTCCAGCCTGGGCAACAAAGTGAGACTTCATCTCAAAAAACAACAAGGCCGGGCGCGGTGGCTCAAGCCTGTAATCCCAGCACTTTGGGAGGCCGAGGCGGGTGGATCACGAGGTCAAGAGATCGAGACCATCCTGGTCAACACGGTGAAACCCCGTCTCTACTAAAACTACAAAAAATCAGCTGGGCATGGTGGCGCGTGCCTGTAATCCCAGCTACTCAGGAGGCTGAGGCAGGAGAATTGCCTGAACCCAGGAGGCGGAGGTCGCGGTGAGCCGAGATTGCGCCATTGCACTCTAGCCTGGGTAACAAGAGCGAACTTCTGTCTCAAAAAAAAAAAAAGAAAAAACAACAACAAACAAAAGTCTGTCTCTAGGCAGACAAAGCACCATCCCAATCCCCATGACCTTGGCTATGCCTACACCACCTCCCCCACACATGCCTGAGAAGCCAGTGTTCAGCTCCCCTGGCTCAGGTGCCACCACTTGAAAGCACCCTGCACCCTCAGGCCAGAACTCCAAGGCCAAAATACAGAAGTAAAGTGTGCCTAAGGCTCTGTCTTCATCAGAGACACTGAGTCCTCTCCACCACCCATCCCCACACCTAGCAGTGCCCTCCACATCCAGTCTCTGCCAGGTGCAGGTACAGCCCTGTGCCCTGGGCTTACTCATGCTCAAGGTGTCCTCTTGGAGGCCCTGCAGGGCTGTGCTCAGGGGTGCTGGCTGTGGCGTGCACAGGTTCAGGTCCAGGTCCTGTAGGCGGGCCAGCAGGGCAGACATGCCTGGTGCCAGCAGCAAGGGACACAGCCAGCTGGCACAGGGTGGGCCATGAGCATCCACTGTGTCTGGAAGTGATCTGCAGGCTGAGAAGGCCTGGAGGGCAGGGGCAAGGGGCTTGGGGGCTGGTGACTGGGATTCCATGGGTCCCTTAGATGGCTCCCACCCCTATTTTGGTTTCCAAAAGGAAGAATAAGCAAAAACAGCCACGATACTCCATATCTGTCACTCAAATAGCATCTCCTTCCCTCATCCAAAGTTCTCTTCCCCCAGGATTTTCCCACTCACTGCAAGATTGCCCTCCTCCTGTCCCCAGGGGCCCCTCTAGTCCTCTTCTCCCTCCCTGCCCCAACCCCATGCACCTCTGACCACAATGATCCACAGTGTATCTCAGACCATCACTGTAATTTGAATGCACCAAGGTGAACCCAAAAAAAATCCCCATTGGAGACTATAAACTCCGCAAGATGGCCCTGAGCCCCTGCTTACTAAAGTCCAAGGCCATGGTCATAGCAGCCAAGCCTGTTGCATGATGCTTATTCTTATTCCCCACAGGAGAGTCTGGGCCACCTGAGGCGTGGGGAGAGGGTCTCTGGCTCCTCAAGAGAACATCCCTATGATGTGCCTGGGGTAGGCAGTGCTCAGGGCTAGGGAGGAGGTCTAGGTCCCTTCAGACATTCCCCTTCTTCCTCCTAATGTCATCTCCCACCATAAGCAGACTACCCACAAAGGTAAGGCTGGGATTCTACCTTACCTGGTCACCTTGGAAGAGCTGGAAGTCCAGGCTGGGGGATAGGGAGCCCCCTGTACCTCCCAGGGCCTTGGGCTTGTAGCAACAACCCAATTATGCAGCTTGTTCTTCCTTCATGTGCCCATTACCTGCTGGGAAGACAGGTGAGTTACAGGTAAGCTGTGAAGGCCCTCCAAATAAGAGTCTGAGTTCCGGGACTGGCTGTCCCATTAATGTGCTGTGTGACCACAAGCTATTCGCTTCCCTTCCTGGCCTCAGTTTCCCTATCTGCAAAATGGGAAGGTTGGACTAATTGATGTGTAAGGATTCTCTGTGTTGACATTGAGAAGCCAGTGATGCTCTCCTGATAGGTGTGGGAAGATTAAATAGAGATTAGGTGTGGTGGCTCAAGCCTGTAATCCCAGCACTTTGGGATGCTGAGGTGGGAGGATCTTTTGAGGCCAGGAGTTCCCAAGCAGACTGGGCAACATAGTGAGACCCCCATCTCTACAAAATAAAAAAAATATGTCAGGCATGGTGGCTCACGCCTGTAATCCCAGAACTTTGGTTGCATCACCTGAGGTGAGGAGTTCAAGACCAGCCCAGGCAACATGGTGAAACCCTGTCTCTACTAAAAATACAAAATTAAGCCAGGCTCAGTGGCTCAAGCCTGTAATCCCAGCACTTTGGGAGGCCGAGGTGGGAGGATCACGAGGTCAAGAGATCGAGACCATCTTGGCCAACATGGTGAAAACCCATCTCTACTAAAAATACAAAAATTAGCCAGGTGTGGTGGTGCGCACCTGTGGTCCCAGCTACTCGGGAGGCTGAGGCAGAAGAATCGCTTGAACCCAGGAGGCAGAGATTGCAGTGAGCCGAGATTGCACCACTGCACTCCAGCCTGGACAACAGAGTGAAATTCAATCTAAAAAAAAAAAAAAAAAAATTAGCTGGGTGTGGTAGTGCACGCCTGTAAACTCAGCTACCCAGGAGGCCAGTGCACAGGAATTGCTTGAACCTGGGGGGTGGAGGTTGCAGTGAGCCAAGATCGTGCCACTACACTCCAGCCTGGGCAACAGAGTGAGACTCCATCTCAAAAAAAAAAAAAAAAAAAAAAAAGAGAGGTTTGCCATGTATGTTTG